ACAATATATGGTACTACTTGGGGTATTTATTTCATTTTATAAATAGAATGAACAATCCTTTTACCTACTGATGTAGGTAATTCAAAGTGCTTTATTTTTGAACCATTGGTGATTCCCTTAAACCAGTGTGTGTTTTGACAGATGTTAGTATAAATAAACTTCAGATTTATATTACCACCAGAGAAATACAGAACATCTGGCATTTTTGAAAATGAACCTTTCTTGATTTATTTAAGTATAATAAATGTATTTACATAACTGTGATTCTGAATTTTGTAGTCATAGACTCTAAGAATAATGAATGTGAGAATAGCTTTAATATCTATTCACTCCCTAGCTTCACTGGAATAACTCTCTATTTTTTTTCCTTTAAGCTATTCTTCTAATTCATTGTCTAATTGCCTAAGATATAAAGAGGCATTTTGCCTAAATGAAGCAGCATCAGTTAAACAAATGAGGCTAGACTTTGACTATGATATCCATTCTAGCGCTTAATCACCATCCTCAGAAGATTATCTTTGAAGGGCCACATTCCCTCTTCTATTTCTCTCCAACAATACTCCCTACATATTCTAGAAGCATTTTGTTTGATTTGTATTTGAGTTAAAGCTTATGTATGGCAGAGTTTACAAAGTTTAAAGTCAGATAGCAATTAATATACTGCTTTGTTACAGAGTAGAAAAAATATATATCCATAAACATCCAGGAGGATAATGAACTACTGCCAATTTCATTGGAGTTTTTCTTACAAGAGCATCACAGAATGAAAACAAAATAAACAGGTGAAACTACACTTTCCCCAGTCTGTTTCCTACTGATTATTACTCATTAGTCATTTAATAGGAACTTTGTCCCTCTTATTTTATTCCTGAGTTATGTTAACTGCATCCATCAGGGATCCAATCAAAAATGCAAGGTAACTTAAGTAAGATTTTGAAGATAATTTAACAAAGAGAGTAGTTACAAAAAAGGCAGAAAGAACCAATAAGGTGTAATGAAGCACAACTAGGGCAAACCGAAAAAGTGGAAGCTACGAAGCAGAGTCATAGGGATCACATTTCCCCCACAAAATCCCCTAGTAAAGTGAGAGAATGAGAGCAGCAATGCAACACGGGCTCACCGAGGGCATTCGTGGGCCCACTTGTTATACAGTGTAGATTACCCACAACTTTGTGGCTAAATTGGAGGAAATACAAGGACCTGAAAATGCCCATACAGTCAGAAGAAGAGAAGTTATTTTGTGACCCAACTGTTGAAGATCTGCTTGTTAGAAGTCACAAGGAGGGCCAGGCCAGGAGCATGACAGTCCGAAAACACTGCAGCACAAAGGATGCAGAAAGGACTCACGAAGTTTTCTTCTTCCATGTTATATATTTCACAAATTCCATCATCATGTCCCCTGGAGCGGGGAGCAAGACAATTCTGTGCTCCTATTAATTTTACTCTCTTTAGACTTTAGGGCAGAATGTGAGAGGCTTTTCTATTCTTGACCTAATATATTGTCCATCTAATCTCTCAATCTCTTTCTCTCTCTCTTTCTCTCTCTTCCTTCTTCTTTCTCTTAAACATAAGTTCTTAAATAGGACAAAAGAGGTACAGGAGGATGAGAGGATTCACCAGAGACAGAGTGGGGAGCAGATCCCCACTAAAAAACAAGAACAGGTGGATCCACTGAAATACACTGCTAAGGAGAGGTCTGCTGCGCCATGTGTGGGTCAGCTCCCTGGCCAGGGATGGAACTCAGGCCATAGCGGTGATAGCACTGAGACTCAACCCCTAGGCCACCAGGGAGGTCCCATATAAAAAAGTGTAGAGGAAAAAACATTAGGAGCTTAATGAGAGTTGCAGTGATGGATGTCCCTAAAAGGAGAAGTATTTTATAATTTTCAGGGGAGAATCAGACCAGAACCAGAGAGGGGGAAGGAAAAGAAATAATCAATCCTTTCTCCTCCTCATTCTATTCTCCTTATTGACAAAAGTCAATTGGAAGCCAGAGTTCCAAGTAGCCCCAGTGATGCCTCTGTAGGCTCAGCCCTGGAGGCACAGAAGCAAGACAGAGATTTAATGGGGGGAGGAGAGGCAGAGAAAGAATAACCAAGTTACTAAAATTGTTGTCATTTTGTAAAACAAATCACATCATAAAGTCAAAAGGGTAATTGCCTACTTAAAGAAATTGAGTCAATTGTTTTATCCTGTTCCCATTAAATTGTCCACTCTGAAATAGAAATAAGAAATTGAGGGCCTCCCTGGTGGCTCAGTGGGTTGAGCGCTACACTGTGAAGCTGTCCGCAGACTCTGCAGCACGGGTTCGATTCCTGGCCTGCCAGGGAGACTGAGAACATGGCGCAGCAGACCTCTCCTGCCTCCCCACTGCTCCCCTCAGCATTGTATTTCTGTCAATCTGCCTGTTCTGTTCCCCGCTCTATCTCTGGTGAATCCTCTCACCCCCTACTCCTCTGGCCTATACCCGGTTCTTGTATAAATAAATAAATCTTTAAAAAAAATACAGAGTAAGACTCTATATTATGCAATTTTTAATTATTTTATCTTTAAAATATTTTATATCAATATGTAAGATATTTGATTTTCTAAACATTACGTAAAATAAAAACTAATTTGAGGAAAAGACATCTACTTTTAGAAAAGACTTTCAAAAACAGGGCCTCCTTTTCTTGATTTAAAAGTGATTTAATGTTAAGTGACTGTTAAATGTTAAGTGACAAACCACAGCTATAATTTTATAACTTTGAATGACTCTACATTAGCAAATCTCCTGATTCAGAGAAGGCTATATTTTTTTAAATTTTATGCAATTTATAAAGGCATTCATAACATTATGAAACTGAGTAGCTAATTTAGAGGTTGGGTTGCTTATGCCTATTTTTCCCTGTTTCTCATTTTAATAATTGAGTATAATTTACAAATACTAAATAATAAAATATTAAGAAGTATGGACTATCCCTTGGGCCTATTATTTTTGCCCGTGACTATTTGACATAATCATCCAAAAATAACCTACTAAGACGCATTCAGTCTTGGGATCACATCCCTCAGAATGAACTAGGATGGGTAGAACAAAAGACAACAAGGAACCACCATTTGCTAATCATCACAATGAAAACTAATTCAGGTAAAAAATATGAAAAGTAAAACTGCAGGTAAATAAGGTATTTACCTGGCAATGTGTTTATATATTATATAAGAAATTTATTAATTAGTAAATAGTAACTTTATAATGGAGAAACTCCAACCGATGTATGATGAACTGAGAAGAATGTAACAACACTACTGTGTATTTCTGTCAAAACAGAATACATGAATTTAATCATGAGAAGACAAAAGACAATCCTAAACTGAAGGTCATTCTACAAAATCTCAGGCTATACTTTTCAAATGTGCCAAAGTCATTGAAGATATAGAGGGAATGAGGAACTTTTCCAGAGTAAAGAACAAAGAGATAAAGTACCTGAATTCAACACACAACTTACTTTTATGGTAAAGGATAATATTTGAATATGCATCAATATTAATTTCCTAATTTTAATTATTAATCCAATGTTTTTATTTTTCCAATTATTTTTACATAGAAGAATTGGGGTATAAGCCAGAGGTGCAGGAGGATGAGCAGATTCACCAGAGACAGAATGGGGAGCAGAACAGGTGGATCTGTTACGGGGAAAGGATGTCCTGAGCGAACTCTATACAGGCTTTGTGGACTCCACCCCCACTCCATCAAGACATTGGGAACTACAAATCCCATGATGCCCAAAGGGAAGTTGCAAGGACCTAAGGGCAGAGTTAAGCAGCCATTTTCTCTGTTTGTAAATAAAACCAGCCATGTTAGTGGGGTCTGGGGCACTTAGCGTGGGTGCTCTCGGCCAGGCAGGTTTGGTCTCATTGGTCATTTGGGATTCCAGGTCGGCGGAACGGGTAGGGCACATTTAAGACTTTATCTCCCTCTTTTCTGAGCTGTACATTTCCTCATTTCCCTTTCCCTTGTAAATAAACCTTTGTTAACTTTTAGTGTGTGCTGGCATTTTAAGCCCCCTTTAAGCACGCAGGTGAGGATCCATAGTTAGGCAACCCATTTTATATCGGGGTTGCCCTGTAACAGATCCACTGAAATACACTGCTGACAGGAGTGGTGGTAGAGACAGGAGAGGTCTACTGTACCATATGTTGGTTAGCTCCCTGGCAAGGGATCGAACTCAGGCTGTAGCAGTGATAGCGCTGAGACTCAACCCCTAGGCACCAGGGAGGTCCCATATAATCCAGTGTTCTTGCTTGTAGAAACTATGCAACAGGGTGGTCCCCAGGAAAGGGGGAGGTTCCCTGCCCCACCCAAGGGAGGGTGGAGCTGAGCAGGAAGAGGAGAAGCTGGAGAAGAGACTGAGGAAGGAAGCAGGATGGAGCCAGGAGACCTGGAGGAGGCACATGGAGCCTAGAGACACGTGAAGAAACTGCGCTTGTCTTTTGGTCGTGGACTGGGTGACACAGATGTGGGTGAGACCTGTGGGGAGGTGACAATGGCAGCTTTTATCTTGATGTTGATTTTGCTCTTTTCCTTCCGGGCTTGTCTGGTTGTTTGTGACCCTTTTCTGTGGGTCCCCACTGGAAGATGCTTTAGACTTGTAGCAGGCTTTGGGACCTTGTTCTGGGCTGATCCCATATGGATGGACTTTTATCCACGAGGGGACGGGTAATTTGGGTGCTTCATTTAGAAACTAGACTCTTTGCCTTACCTGTATTGTTTCCTAGTTGTATTAAAGTTCCTTCCCATTAAAGTCTCATATGTTTTGTGTTGATGCGGCGGATGGCAGAACCCATTTAGAATAGGCAGGTTAGCGGGGTTTGGGCTGCCCCCTCCCTGTCCTATAACAACTACACTATGAGCTATATATGTCACATAAGGAGACATGAAAACTGTTCCACATAAAGTGACATGAATTGTATAACACAGATGACAGAAACAGAACCTTAATATTTAGAGACTCTTTATGATGTAATAGCAGCTCTCCTGCCCAGCTGTGACTATGCAGGTACCTCTCCTTTTCTTTCCTCTTTCTTACTAAACTTGTCGTTTTGAAATGTAAAAAAAAAAAAATCTTTATGAAAGAATAAAGGAATTGATTGTACTATTCTTGAAAATTTTCTGAAAATATGTCAAGATTAAAAGTTAAACAGAGGGGGGAAAGATGATAATTATGACAGAACAACAGCAAAACAAAACCAAAAATAAAACTAGCCCTGGTCCTAATGCAAACCAGAGAATATGTAATGAAGTTAACTGATCAGGCATCAGCCACGCCCATCCCTCCTATCAAAAGGCAAAAGTTATTTTTCTATCCGAGCAATGTCAAGGAAAGGAAAGACCTCAGGGTAGAATTATTGGGCAATGATACGCAGAAAGCAAGATCCAGGTAAGAACATCCCCACTCCCCCAAGGGACCCTCTCCCAGGCACACAGGCCATACGACAGCTGTCCCTGAAGCAGTCAAGTCTGTTGTCACAAGGGTCCACTGTGCTGACAGTGAGGACTGCTGGATGATGAGCAAAAGCACATTCAGCACCTCACCAGGAGACTAAACCCTGACAGTGTGATTCCGAAGAATGACTGATAGGAACGCTTCTGGCAGCCTGGCAGAGTGGGGCCTCTGAGTCAGGCTTAGGGTGTTGTAAAGAAAGTAAAGTGAATTTCCCCACATCCTGAATAATACTTGTGTTTTATTTTTTTGATCATAGCCATCCGAACAGGTGTGTGGTGATATCACATCATGGTTCAGATTTGCACTTCCCTGATGATGAGTGATGTTAGACATTCTTCATATACCTGTTGACCATTTGCATGTCTCTTTGGAAAAAATGACTATTTAGGCATTTAGTCCATATTTTAATTGTGTTATTAGCTTTTTGGATTGCTTTTTTTTTATTTGTTTGCTACTGAGGGGTAGGAGTTTGAATATTAACCCTTTATCTATAGTTTGCAAATATTTTCTCTCATTCTGCGGGGATGTTTTTTTCATTCTGTTGTTTCCATCCCGCGTTAGTGAGTTTGTGGAGAAATTGTAACCCTTGTACACTATTTTTTTTAAGATTTATTTATTTATTTATTTATTTATTTATTTATTTATTTATACAAGCACTGGGTACAGTCAGAAGCACGGGAGGGTGAGAGAATTCACCAGAGCCAGATTGGGGAACAGAACAGGCAGACTGACGAAATACACTGCTGAGGGGAGCAGCGGGTGTGGCAGGAGAGGTCTGTCACACCATGTGGGACCCTCACCAATGGCCAGGAATTGAACCGGCGCTGCAGAGGCTGCGGGCAGCTTCGCAGCCCAGTGCTCAACTGCTGCACCACCAGGGAAGGCCCTCCTTGTGCACTATTAATGGGAATTAAAACTGGGGCAGGCACTATAAAAAGATTACAGAGATTTCTCAAAAAGTTACAAATATATCTACCATATAATCTAGTTTCCCAATTGTAATTATCATTCCCCCTGTAGGGTAAATAATTTTCAGACTTTTCTGCCCTCCCACCATTAGGATTGCATGCCTGATGGTGGGTACCTGCATTTGTTACATTTTTATAAGTTGTGTTGTTTACTTCTGTGGGTCATGGCAGCAATATTGAGATATTCACCAAGAGAAGCACAGGCAGGAGAATGAGCAGAAGAGAGATAGGAGCCCTGAGTAAAGACTTGCCAGGGGCTTGGAGGCCATTGGCCTCCTGGCCCCCACAGCATCCCTGCCTGCTGTGTAACTGGTTGCTGCACTACATATAAGAGCTCAATAAAAGCCTGAGAGAGCCACCGAGGGCTGCAGACTCTCCTTTACCCATTTGCTCCAATCATAGAACACCTGCTCTGTGCCATCCTGGCACTATACCCACCCCCCCCCCAATGAAATCAAGATATCAAGAGTAGTTCATGTTGGGCCTCCCTGGTGGCGCAGCGGTTGAGCACTGGGTTGTGAAGCTGCCCACAGCCTCTGCAGCGCCGGTTCGATCCCGCTGGGTGAAGTTCCACATGGTGCGCCGACCTCTCCTGCCGCCCGCTGCTCCCCTCAACGTGTACTTCAGTCCTTCTGCCTGTTCTGTTCCCATTCTGGCTCTGGTGAATTCTCTCACCCTCCTGCGCTTCTGACTGTACCCAGTGCTTGTATAAATAAATAAAATCTTTTAAAAAAAAGAGTAGTTCATGTTTACATCTTTATTTACAACATCTGATATGTGCAAACAACCTAAATGCCCATCTATTAATGAATTAATAAATAAAATGTGGTATATGCATGTAATGGAATATTATTCACCCTTTAATAAGAGATCCTAAAATCCAGAGGGCATTATACTAAGCCAGTCACAGAAAGGTCAACACTGCATCATTCTACTTATTCAAAGTATCCAAAAGAGAAGCAGATAGAACAAAGGGTGGTTTCAGGAGTTAGAGAAACGGGAAATGTGGAATTGCTGACCAATGGCTACAAAGTTTCTATTATACAAGATAAGTACATTCTAAAGATACTGTACAATATTGGGCCTATCATTGACAATATTGTAGTGTACACTTAAAAACCTGTTAAGATCATAGATCTTAGGTTAAATGTTCTTAGGATATTAAAATACAAACTAAAATTTTTATCTACACAAAAAAAGGAGAAAAAAATGAAATGTGTTCAATGTTGGATTGCTTCTATGGTGAATTTAGAATGGACTAAAATTCTTATGGTTTTCCCACAAAGAGATATCTGTCATTTCACTTTCACATTTTACACAATCTTCCTGGAATGGACCTGTGACTTCTTGAACCAATAGGATATGGCAGGTGTAGCAGTGCATAGCAGTGGACCAGCTCTGCACACAGTCATTAAGAGACCTGGCTGCTTCTGCTTCCTTTCTTGGAAACCCATTCTAGAAGTTCTGAGCTGTTGTTAAGAAATCTGACTACCTGTGGGAGGCACCAGGCAGATGCCATGTAGAAATGGAAGAACCTAAGACTGCACCGGAAAGAGGTCAAGTGGGCCCAGCATCGCAACTGAAAACCAACCTCCCGCCTGACCGTCCAAGGCACCAGACAGTTGAGAGAGTCACCTTGAATGTTCCAGCCCAAGCAGACCCCCAGATGGCTGCAGTCCCAGCTGATATTCCGTGAAGTAGATCTTCTCAGGTGAGCACAGTCACCCTCAGAATCAAGGACATCCTAAAACAAGTATTGCTTTAAGCAACTTTTAGAGTACTTTGTTATGCAACAAAAAAAACCAGGATAGACCTATATTCCATTAAATTCATAGTTATTTCATTCATTCAATAACCATTTTAAGAATTTATTAAGGAACTCAGTTGTAGGCTGCTTGATGGTGATTTCTATTTGGAAAAGAAACAGCAAACACATAAGAACATATATGTCAGCTAGAGTGAGGTATATGGTTTGGACCCCAGAAAGAATGGCAAGGCCAGGAGGATCAAAATGAGATCAAAACAGGTAGCAGGAGATAACTTAACATGAGAGGAGTAACCACCTGTGGAAAATCATTATATTGTAGTAGTACCAAGCATGGTACATGGCGTGCTAAGAGAAGGTTATTGGCTGGGGTTCAGTGTACTGGGGAATGAAAGGATTGGTGCAGTAAAGAAAAGGAGAGTCAGGCTAAGTTTCTCACAGGCAAGAAATTTATTGTGCTCCCGGGCAAAGTTCACTGACTCATAAGGGGGTCAGAGAAGTCACACAGTTGTGGGATAAGGGCAAGCTTTTATAGGGCAGGGTCTGGCTTTGGAGGGAGGTGAAGAATGCTGAGACAAAGTTGCTTTTCAAAGTTTTTTCTCTCAGAACTGGTTGCTCTTTCAACGCTGCTTATCAGGGCCTGTGCAAACCAGGTAGAGCTGGCTCCAGGGATGCAGGTGGCAGCAGTTTCAAGTTGTTCCTCTCTGAACCCCATCTCTACCCTGGCTCAACCTTACAGGGGATATGTAGTAGGTGAGGCCAGAGGAAAAGATTGGAACCAGAGGGACATTAAACATGTGAACAGGTTCCATCTTGTTTGCCTTATATTGTTTACTGCCTGGCATATTCCATAACACATAGTAAAGGTTCAATAAAGGCTAAATCCTTCCAAGAAGTTAATTATCTTCTTGTGCATACCGAACTTACACAGGAGTTCGTATTCAGTGGTTCTCAAATTTTGCTGCATCTTAAATAACCTGGGATTTTAAAAAATCCCCATACTCAAGCTGGACCCAATACCTAAGAAATTAGAATCTCTTGAGTGGGATTCAGATATCACAGGGATCCCAATGTGCAGCCAAGCTGAGCCGTTACATGCTAATCTGCCTATGTTCTTGCAGAGTAAAGTGGGAATAGTGCTCCCTCCCTAATTTTCTACATCAACCTTGCAGTTTTAAAGTTCAGCAAATTAATCTAGATCCTAATGCAACCAGATATGCTAAGAAATGGGAACAAAAGACCAGCTCTAAATATTCTTAGGTGTTATTGAAAATATAAAATCTAATTTGAAAAATATATTGCCATGCTAATGAGTTATGTAGTAGCCCATGTTGTGGTCATTTACTGAAATACCCACTAAGTAGAATATATTAAATAAATAGCACCAGAAAAAAATGAATAAATAAATCTGATTAAACAACTACTATATCAGGGACTGTTCAATGAAATACATTTTTTTCTTTTTAGTTCTTTATTTCATTCAAATTTTATTTTATATATATTTTACATAGTTCTTCCCTTTTCGTATAATCTATGCTTTCTCCTCTCAGGTATAGTTCCCATAAAATTCCTACCACCAGTTCACCCATTCAGTGAAATACATTTTTGATCACAGCTCTCAACACGAGTCCAGCACAAAAATATAATTAGGGTTCGAATAAATGGCTGCATTGTTGCTAATATTTTATTAGCAGTAATAATCATGAAATATTACCACAAACAGACACACTACTTTCAATAATTTATAAAACACAGTTTTGATATATATGCTAAACATTCTCATTCATTTGTTCACTCCTTTTTCTTGCCTCTTCTGAAGTGTTCTACGAAAAGCTATTCTGCATAAATTCACTAACTTTGTGGGGAAGTTTTGCATGAAGAATGTGAATATAAGAATTTGATCCAGAGGGAGAGTTCCTTTTCATGGAACTCTGAGAACCACTCAGTTGGTTACTGAACTGGCAGTGCCTACCAAAGAACATGGCTGGACTCGAGACATCTGGGGCTAATATTTATCAGGCAAAAGCAGTTTTCACACCTGAACAATCTGTAATTCATGATCTGTGATTGTTTTGATATATTCCTTGTGACACTGATTTGATTAGTGTTTCCTTTGGCCTCATGATAATTAAATTTACATTAGACGTAAAGATGCCTGATTAAGCCTCTTCATGAGTATATTCTTGGGTACTTCACATCTTAGGTTGTAGCTCAATACCATAAATGAAAGACTGATTAAAGGAAAGATAAGAAGCAACCAAAGGCAAATTTTTCATAATGATAATAATAATGGTAGTAAGGTAATACTGTTATTTCTAGGACCTACTTTTTTAAGTATATACTATGGTTCATTCACATTGCTAAACACTTTGTGTATATTATCTTAATTAATTTTCTCAGTGTCCTTATGAAGGGTGTGCTATTATTTCCCCCACTGTAAAGATAGGTAAACATGTTAGATGGATTAACATACCACTTGCCAAACAGATTATTACCTACAGCTAATTGGAACTCAAACTGAGACTTCTTTGTGCTTGAATATTATGCCAGCATTTCAATGTTGGTTGCATATCATTGCTCTAGATTCAGATCTTAGTTAACCAGGACAGTAGCTCCATTTTTGACAAGAAATTATTTCATTTGCTTCATCTACTTTGGAAGCCTACAGATAAGTAAACTGAATGTAATTTCATACTAACTTTCTTTTCAAAATGGACTCAATCAGGATCTATAATGTGCACTCCAAATTAGACAGATAACAAAACCATCTGTATTGTTACACAACATTAAGGCACCAAGTATGTTTAGAAATGATCTATCAACCAAGAAAATAGCGTTTTGCCTCCACAAACCCACAGAGGACAGCTATATCCATCAACATACATATACCTTAAGTATACAATAATGCAATGGTTCTGTTTTTTAAAAAGATTCTCTGGATACATCCTCTTTTAAATGACTGTCAATATCCCTGGTATATTATAGCTTCAATCCTACACTTGTTTTCTAAACCATTAAATAAAACCAGAGATCAAATTGCTATATTTTGTTTTCTTTCAATAAAAAACAAAATAAAAACACTAACAAAAACCAAAGCACAATCTTAGCTACAATTCAGGAGGTGTAAGAACACAGGACTTGTTTTTGGTTAACGTTTCTGCAACATTGAACAAAAATGTATTTTCCATGATTTTGAAAAGTTGCTTTAGTCACTTTTATGGATGAATCTCAAAGACTGTAAGAACAAATTTCATTTTTTTTCAAAGAAAAGATAATCATTATATTGCTAGATTGAACAACTAAATAGTCATAGGCTACTCCTCTTACTTTCTTTCAAGGACCTGAGAACCATAGATGGATCTGAACCAGGATCTTCCTAAAGATAAAATGTTGAAAGAGAGGTACTGTCCCATTGTACTGTTTAGTACTAACAAGGAGGGTTTTTTAGATATCCTTAAATAGCATAAAGTCTTCAAATCAAAAGCTGTACCAAGGGGATATTTGGCCTACTTTTCTCCCAATCCTATTTTCTAACTGAATAAATCTGATATGTAACATTATGTTAATTTAAGGAATATAGCGTGGCACTTTCATACATTTATATGTAATACTGTCATTGAAGCAATATTTATTATTTTACATAACTAATATTATTATTTGTAGTCATTATACTGTGTATGGGATCTCTGTGACTTATGATAAGGGCAGTTGATATATATGTAGAATCTAGAAACATTAACTTGTTTAAAAAGGAGAATTAAATAGTAGTTACACAGGGGTAGAGGGGGTGAATAGAATAAGAATGATGGTGTTCATGTTTTAAAAATAAAGTTAATTTTTATATACTAGGCAATTTGGTAACTGCTTTAAATAGGTCATTTAATTTTAGCTATCCCATAGACGCATGGAGTTAAATAACTTGCCTAGACAGCATGATGGTGGGTAGAGGATTGAATCTCTGTCCTATAGAATGCAGGCCCTATGTCTTAGCTGCTATGCTTTTCTGTATCCCAGATCGAGATTTATGAAGTCAAGAAAGAAGTACTACACCCTTAAGCAGCAAAAGTCCAAATTACAATGCAACAATCATATGAAAAGAAGTGACTTAAAAATGACCTGAAACCAGACTGTCTCCAGTTGTTCATCCATAATGAACATCTGTTACCTGGCATCCACTGGCAGTGATTCCCTGAGGAAACAGGGTGGGCCTGAGTTATAATGTTTCCAAATAAAACTAGCTGAAGTACTCAGGAGAATGTAATGATCTTTCTTTTGGATATAAGGACGTGTCCGATAAAAGCAAAACCAGACCCAAACTAGCTATATACAAATCATAGAAGTAGATATCTTGCTCTATTTTCAGAATAAGATAGTCTCAATGTGGTTCAGATATTTAGAGAAGAGTGGTAAGAAATAAGCTGGAATGTTGATTGAGAATATGGTATAACAGAGAATGGACATAGCAAACACAGAATGAAGACAAGTATATTCCAAGAAGCTTACCCATAGAGGACTGAATATTGGAAATGATGGAAGGTGTTTTGTGTATCAACAGATGTAGCTCAGCTACAAAATGAATAAAGGGATGGTGTAATAGTTTCTCAATCTATAAACCTGATTCCTGATGGGCACAGTGCTACTTGCTTAAGCCATAGTACCAAGTAGAGTGGTCCTGGGAAGAATTCAGTAAAAAATTGTTAAAGGAGGGAAACCACAAGTTCAGTACAAACAAACTAACAAGGGTCCCTAAACAAAAAAACATGAGGTTCCTAAATAGAAAAAAAAAAGGTGCATATATAAATAAGCACACACTGCACATATAAGTATATTAAGGAGAACAAAACTAAACCCAAATTTATATTTATATTTATATTATCTCTTCTAAATAGTCTAGGAAAGAAGCATTTGTCTTCAGTAGGGAATGAGAGAAAGGTTGCTTGTCTGCACAGCTTGTTCAATTCAGTTCTGCTTTCTAGAAACATTTACAATGGGAGAAAGGTTAATAAGCTCCCCTGGTGGTAGTCAGGGCATACACACAAGAGAGGAGAAAGAATGAATTCTTCTTATTTCCATCCAATCTGTTCTTCTTTTCACTCTAATGCAACATGCCAAGTGTTCCTATTATAGTAATTTACCATAATATATGGTGAGATGACCCTGACATGCAATGAATGTGTCTATTTCTCAAATAATTGAAAAACAGACACTGAAACAATTTCTTTAGAAATGGACCATTAGAGTGTCTACACAGCATAGTGACTAGTGGAATACTTAAGGAACAATGCCACCTGTATTTATATATTTCTGGACGAGTACAGCTGACAGTATAAACTCATTTTATGGGATTGCTAAAACAGCTGCAGGAAAAAGATAAAGACATTTTATCATTTTAATTTGCTATCACCTAAACACAACAGCAGTGTAACAAAATTGCCTGGGATTATTGAAAATAATCTGTCATCAGAATTGATGGTATTTACCAAGCAGTTTCACTAGCAAACTTGAGCCTATTCTTGAGTTTGAAAAATAAAAGTCTACTTCATGCCATGTGAAAATGTCCATGGTTCTACCTGTAATAATAAATAATAATAACTTTAACTGCAGCAAAACTGATTTGGGATAAGAATATAATTCTTCTGAACAACATATAATTATATCTACCTGAGGAGGTAGATCAGAAGAAATTATATCCAGTGTGTCTGCCTGAATAAACTACCACTTAAAACAACATTCATACCTACGTTTTAAAAGCATCTTAATTCTTATTTACAAAAAAGAGGCCTCTTTTTATGCAATTTTTAGCATTTGTTAAAAGTCAAAAACCTTGATAAATACAAGAGAGAGAGAAATTTATCCTCATAGCCTGATTATCAATTTCATGACAGATCATTTTACTTTATTCTTGAGGATACACTGTTTGACAACACTGGATATGATTTAGAGGTATAGAATCACCCTCTTCAGGTGTTACCACACCACACCCTCCACCAAGATGCCTACAATCCTACACCATAGTCCACTGTGCTCCCTCTCCACATCCTTTCCCCCTCCCGTTAGCCTTCCTCTCTGGTAGCCTGAGTTCTTGAGTCAGATTTCTAGGGTTTATTATGGGGTTGGTTTTATCTGACCCTTTGTGGAATATGGAGAAACAAAACAAAGGGTCAGATAATTTTTATGCTGAATTTTGTGCCAAACAAATACTTTAAGTAATAAGAAACAAACTATCAGTCACATAAAAATTAATATAACTCCAACAGGGCTTACACTAGGTATGAGATAGGAGATTATATATTTCTCTTTTCCATTGAGAATAGAAGAAACTTTGTTGACAAAGACTTTAAGCATTTAAAACACTCATGCCCTACATTGTACCCATTCGAGAAGCTGTGGTTCTCCTCTAAGAATATGCCCCCATGCTTCCATGACTTGAGTTTTTGCTTCTTCCTTGGAATACCAATAACACTTACTGTTTTGGTTCATACAACGCAAACATAGATTTTGATCTGTTTTCATAGTCGTGAAACTGAAAGGAATTTTCAGGAGAAAGGCAATTATACCAGATGCTGCTCACAGAGAACCAATGTAGAAGAACGATAAGAATTGAGAACATTTTGCACTGACTCCAACACGTCTCCAAAATCTTCTCATTATTACATCACTGTTTGTGTCAAATGACCACATATGTTTGTAAGTAGGTAAAATCAGGGATAAGGTTTTACAAATTTTTGCATACTGTCTACTTAACTGTCAAGAAACATAGTTTACAATTGAAAGAAATGTAGCAGAATCATACTGAGGGAATTTGACTTTGTAGCCCTTCAGACTTTAAGGATACTCAAAATCATCTGAATACTCTCTTGTTTTAAGATTAGTTGGTATCTACTGCATCAAAGTAAAACAAGTACATGGCTTTAAAAATCAAATTATGAATGATGATAATAAAATATGGACCCTGCCCCTCCTTCCCATTCAGTGTTTCTCAGCCAGGGATAATTTCCCCATCCAGGAGACATCACACAAGGTCCAGGGCCACTTTTGGTTATCACTATTTGAGGGGAGGAGATGGCGACTGGTAAAGGCCAGAGGTGCTGCTAACCATGCTAAAATGCACAGGACACACTCCCACAACAAGTTCCAGATAGCACCAAGGTTAGGAAACCCTGTGACAGACCCCTCCATTGACCAACAACTTTCCCACTATTTTTTCCTAAAGAATTATACATCATCTGCTATCTTTTGTATCACCAATTAAGCATATTGTCTATCAATTCTAAATTAGGAAAATGATAATTCAGCTCTTTTATTCTCATTTCCTCTCTCTGCTATACCACAACGTCCTGCTGAAAGTTATATTCAAAAGGTTAAATGTGCATGTGCATATATAATTGTATAGGATATAATATTTGTACAGGTTATGTGTATTCATAAATAGATATATCCCATACAAATATTATTCACAACTGAGCACTGTGTTGACTGCTTATTTGACTTAATATATTTTGTTAATCAGTGTTTCTTTGACCTGTTGCTCACACTTTATACACTTTCCTAAAGTTTCAAACTCTTTGAATGAACTGGTAACCATGGTGAATCACATCAATTGCACTATTAACTCAATTTATTTAAAACTATCTTCTCTGAAATTTCCATGTTTTTGCTATTTAGACTAGCTTCTTTCTAATTCTACTGCATAGCCATTATTTGGTGACTTGCCTCTGCCTGAATCCTAGAAATATCCTTTGTCTTACTCCTGGTTTGACTACCTATTTTCTGTCTATCCCTTCCTCCTTGGTGTACTCTCTTGTTTCCATGGAATATATATCCTTTCTATAGTAATCTGTAAGTTTAAAAGGAGATATGTCAGAAACTTGGGTAAATTTTCCCCCTCCACAAGCCAGAATCTTGAATCATACTGATCCAATATGAAGTCACTGTCTCTCAATTTCAATGCAATAGAATCATTTAGGTACCGATTAAATTTCTAAAACTCAATCAGGTGATTACAGTGTACAGTCAAAATTGAGAACCCCTGACCTATTTGCTTATTAAATATTTTAAAATCTCCACCCTTCAATACTATATCCAGAAGTAGCTGGTGCTGCCACCTCCTGCACAATAGTTTTCTTATTATCCTATGTAGATCTAAGTAATTCTTAGTATTCCCCACAAATAATTTAGTATTTGCTTTATAGAGTCTGTTAATCAGTCACCACTTATATTCTGTCATACACCTTTGAATATTTTTTTCTGTTTTCTCCTTTGTTATCTGCCAAATTTTTATATTGATTTAACAATAAAAATCCCATTTATATTAGTTTTGGTAGTTCAGAGAACACTAAAGGTCTATGTCCAAACACTTACCTTTATTTGGAACTCAGACCTGAGGTCTGAAAAATAAAGGACTTTTCCAAGTCACATAGTAGAATCATCAGAAACAGAAGCCAGGATCCTACCTTTTCAGTTCAGCGTTTTGTAAACTTTTTGCAGACTGCTTAATGAAGCATGTCTACTTCTTTAAGTTCTTATAAAAATATATATATATATTGATGACTCATCAAATGGCATCTCTTCCACAAAAACAGAATGCCTATATACATAGGCTGAGAAATTCTACATTGGATGCTCAAGTATAAAATATGAATTTAGACACTGCAGATACAGAAGAAAATCAGACCAAAGATATTGGTTCCAATGGCACTTCCAATTTAATGAGCATTGATTAAATATTTAACTAGTAAGTCTGTAAATTCAAATGGTCATGAATATATTGCAAATTTTACACACACACACACACACACACACACGCATATATACCAATGTATCAAGGACAAATACCAAAAATCCCATCCAAATAGCCTGTAATGTCATCTTGACCATAATCTCAAAACAGTTAAAACTATATTGACCATACACTAAACAAAACCTAGAACATTTACAAAAATCCTTCCTCCTCTTTCTCCTCTTTTGCCTTTTTGGGTCATAAACGCTGGCTCCCATTCTTTTAAGACATCTCAACTTCCACCCATCATATTCAGGCAGACTATAATTTCTGCAAATGTCTCCAAAATCTGTTTTTATCTATTTATTTCTAATTGTCTTACCTCATCTCAGCCTATTACCATTAAACTACTATATTTTAATAACAGCTATCTCTACTTCCAATCTGTAACACTTTATTTTTCATGTTCCTCAGCCACACTGGCACAAGAGTTACATACGAGGCATGTCACACATGAGGCACGTCACTG